CCTGCAGGTCAGACAGGTTTTTAGCAAGCTACCAGGTGGGAATTCTGGCCAAGGAAAGCTTGGTGACTTTCTAGAATGAAAGACAGAAGTGCAGACAATGATGCGGACAGGACATTCAAAGGTCATGCCTTTGTAATATTTAAAAAAATATTTACTTTTGTAATAAAAGCACACAGTGTAGACTATTTAGAAATTACAGAGCAGTTATGTTTTTAACCTCTAACTCAACAGTTACTGATAACTATAGCCAATATTCTGACATTCACAATTGAAATTTGCATGGAAAATATTTGCATTTTCCTTTTTGTTCCTCAAAGATGGTGTTAAAACGTGAGTAATGGTTGTAAAACATTTTTGTCCATTAAGACATAGTATGTTATAGTATAACTTAACTAGTTTATTACCAATGGGCTATTCAGGATACTTCTAATTTTCAAAAATAAATTTTAACACTAAAATTTTTATCTTTTTATCTGAGATCACTCATCTTTATTTCACCTCCATTGGAACTGCAAGTCTGTATTTTCTTTGATGAAAGCTTTTCTCCTTAGTTTAAGCTAAGTATACATGTACTAGGTAAAAACTGTGAGTGTGGAGAAGTAGGGAATAAATAATACAGTCTCTGCAACAACATCTTTGCATAAAATAAAATCTTCATGGACTGGGGAATTACTTGAGGTTCTGAAAGGATACTAAAGTTCTCAGATGCACCTTCACATCTTCAAAGCATTTAAAGACTACTTTCAACATACAAAACAAATTTTCTTTTAAATAAAACCCATTTCCTCCTTGTACCCTGTTATAAACAGGCACTGACTCACTCACAGCTCATCTAAAAACACAATGAAGGGCCACGGGCATAGCTCATTGGTAGAGCACCTGCCTAGCACATGTAAAGAAGAAGGCTCTGGGTTCCATCCTCAGCACCACAAAAACAAAACAAAATGAAACAGTGCCACCAAAGAATATGTGTTGGCACACACCTATAATCCCAGTGACACTTTAGGCTAAAATGGGAGGCTCGCAAGTTCAAGGACAGCCTGAGCAACTTAGCAAGACCTGTCTCAAAAAACAAGCGCTGGGGATATAGCTCAGGGACAGTGTGCCCCTGGGTTCAATCCCTAGTATGCCCCCCTCCCCCAATACACAAAGAACATGTGCTATTTTATTTATGTTCATCTTCTAACTGGTAAAGGCCGCCTACAGTTTTCCTCATGTCCAGAAGGACCCCATACACTCTGAGTATTTAATGTCCTGGTCAGTATCAAGCATACAGAATTAACTTAATTCCAACATCACATTTTTCTTTTCTTTTTTTTTTTAAAGAGACGTGGGTATCACTTCTATTGTTGCCCAGGTTAGCCCTGAACTCCTAGGCTCAAGCAATCTTCCTGTCTCAGCCTTCCTAGGAGCTGGGTTTACAGACATGCACCACTGTACTCAATTATCTTGTTTTCTAGAAGAGGAACAACAATTTTCATTGGTCAAGGAGAACTGGGTCCAGAACTTCTCATTCCTGATAACCAGTGATAAATGTCTAATCACCCACTTTTAACTCTACATGGTCACTAATCCCCAGCAGCATTGCTAAGTACTCTAGGAAATATTTCTGAGTGAAAAGATAAAAGTCAGTCTGACTTTTCAGAACTTAAGAGACTTAAATATGATTCCTTTCGAAGCAGTCTTTTCTGGAAGAATATGTAAATATTTCAATGATGTTATAGTTGATTAAAGAAAGTTTTCTAATTTCTCTTTGGGAATACCCACAGGACCAGTTTTATACCAACTGATATTACTCAGTTTTTCTATTCATCTCTCTGGGATTAAATTACCTTTAGCTATTTCAAAAATTCATTTGTAGCTTCAAAGCATCAAGATTCATCATTACTTATGATATTCAAAGAGAATGTAAAGATGAGCTCTAAGTGGTTGAAAAGAGAGTCCATAACCTCCCAAGGTGCTCATTTATATTCCTTTTCTTTCCCAAGAGGATTTGGGGTAGCTATGTCACTATTTGGGGGAAAATAAGAACTTATTTATAGATGTAAATTGTTTAAAAGAACATCTCACGTAATCAGGCAACTACTAAAAATCTTCTCAAATTAAGTTTTCAAAAAGTATCCCAAAGATAAATATGTCAAATTATATCGAATGTATATTCAATATGCAGAGGAATGTTTTAAATAACAGACAAGAATATAAATAATGATACCCATTTAAGGCATAAAATTATGAAATGTTTTAATTTTTTTCCTTTGTTTTTGCTCACAACTTTCTTACATTCCTTAATGGATATGATCATTTATACAATTAGAAAATATACACAAACACACACAATTAAAACAGGTATATATTTAAAAATTCCAAGATGTAAGCATTAAAAACATTTAATCTCAACTTTTTTTTTGGGGGGGGGGGGCTACACTGGTAATTGAACTCAGGGTCTCATGAATGCTAGACAAGTGCTATAACACTGAGCTACATATTCCCCATTGCAGCTACACCTTAGTATATAAGAGCTTAAAATTTGGCTCAGAAGGAATGTACATCTGCCAGATACAATGGAAACAAGGTTTAAAAAGAATGTGTTACTTTATTTCCTTTCCCTTCTGTATAATTTAACATCTACACAACTCAAAAAGGAAAACTTGCCTTTTCTAAGTGAGCCACTGCTTTTCGAAATGCTTAAAGCACATCAACAGTAATTATACTGTTGATGACTTGAAAATGGGTCACCCCTCACAACTGATTAAAACTCTCTTATGCAATCTTCCTTTGGAGGAAACAAGGACAGCTTGTACAAATATTTCAACTAGATCTACTTCCTTAAGAGAAGATGATACACATTTGTAGACACTACCAAGTTCGGAAAACACACAGAAAGGAAAAGGAAACTAATGAAGTTAAGATGGTCTGTCCATTTGCCCCAATTATTTTTTGCAGTGGTGGTGACAGGGTACCAGGGATTGAACTCAGAGGTACTCAACCACTAAGCCACATCCCTAGCCCTATTTTGTATTTTATTTAGAGACACGGTCTAACTGAGTTGCTTAGCACCTCACTTTTGGTGAGGCTGGCTCTGAACTCAGGATCCTCCTGCCTCAGCCTCCCAAGCTGCTAGGATTGCAGGCGTGCACTACCACGCCCAGCTGTCCAAGTCAATTTTATACAAGGTCACTGACTTTTTGGAAAGGACACAGGCTTGTTAATAAATAAGCAGTGTCTAAAGTTTAGATATTTTAGGGATGGGGGTGTAGTTCAGAGGTACAGCACCTGCCTCACATATACAAGGCCCTTGTTCTAACCACAGCATCAGGAGGAAAAAGGCATACTGGATAAAGTTGTAGATATTTTTATCTTTTTTATTTAAAAAGCTAAAATGAATCAATCATGTTACCTGGAACAATAACAACATTTGGGAAATAACTACTTTTGTACAGGATATGCAACTGCATTTCTATAGGTTAAGTACTAATTTCAATAAGCTCTACTGTCTCCTCTCTGACTAGGAATGTAGTGTAACAAAACTGGATTTGGAAGGCTAATTTTTACTTTTTAAGTCAATGTATTTATGAGATGTGTCTGAATGAATTTACATGGTTTGGGTAATTTGTAAAGGCTTTAAGATCATATCACTTGACTACATACATGTTTCAAATGTCTGAATAGAAACACCCCTCTCAAGTTAAGAGATGAATAAACTATCGGCAGGGAACAACAACATGCTGTCATGGATTGGAGGCAAGAAAAGGCCGATGCCCTCAACCACACAGCTATTAAAGTCAGATGCGCTCTTGAGTTGTTTCAAACACTACACACCTCATGATACCACTTCACCATTCCTAACTCTAAAACTTGGAGCTCCTAAACCAATGAAAAAATTTCAGATTCATTTATCCATAAAGTATCTTCTCGAGTGCTGGTTTAGAAAACTCACCTAACAAACTCAAGGAAATGAGCACAAAATTTATCCAGTCTAAGAACAAATTTATAGATGCTCTATATTTTTAAAGCATAAAATACTAAAGCATGTAAAGTAGTTAGATATTAAGGAAGAGGTTACCGCTTTTGGACTTAAGTCTGTGACCATCCTAACTCTTCTGTACTATTTGCCTTACAAAGAAATACAGAAGCATGAAATGAAATCAAAGCTTCAGAAAGCTTTGGTTTTTTTTTTTTTTTAAACTTTTTTGTTGTTTGCAGCCAGGAGATCTATCTGGCTTTAGCTCTGAAGACAGTTACAGTGGTACCAAGATATTTTAACTCTGGCTGTTCTCAGTACAAAGCTCAGTCGGATCATCAAAGATTGTTCAATATATTCCAATTTTATTTTATTGTTCTTACTTAAAATTGGTCAATATTTTATAATATTTTAGTTACGTATAGACTAAAGTTAAAAAAAGTTTACTAAAGTTAATGAGAGAACTATCCTTCTACAATCTCAAATATTTAGAGTTGTCACTTTCAATCAGAAGTACTAAAATAACTTAATTATCACTGAGCACACCTCAGTGGAGGAGACAGGTTAATAACATCACAAATTGAGGTATAAGGAAGATGAAGGCAAGGAAACCTCTTGCATAATCCCACACTGAGGTTGCTATTCTTCTGTCTACTGTTTATAAGGCTAAAAAGATTGGAGAGAATGAAAGAGTTGTTTCATTGCTTAGTACCCAGAACTGGGGTTAGCCAAAGTGAAGTAAGAGCTAGGCTGGATTTTTAGATGACAAAATTAGAACAGTTATTATATACCATTCGTTGACACCTAAAGAGAAAAATCTACACTGTAAGTCATTATAATCATGCAAAGAGGTGTGTGTGTGTATATATATATGTCCTTTATCACACTGTGGAAGTCCCCACCAAGTCACTGATTTAACCAACCAAAAATTCAGTTAAATCATCATTTCTAGAAATATCTCCCACAAAATGTAGGATATCTTTTCCTCTTAGATTTCAAAATTCCCTAAGGAGAGAAACCAAACCAAGTACTCACATACCTATAGATGGAGATTTGAAAGGGTATTTATCAGGAAGATCCACTCTAACTTTCCATACTCCACCTTCATACGGTGCTAGAATAAAAGTAAAAAAGGTTAAACATCAGAATTGTGTCCTTAAATTAGAAAATAAATCTTAGTATAAGTTAAATGTTAAACCCTAATCTCTTCTGAAAACACTCAAAATTAATTCTTTAAAGAGTCAGAACCCTACTATAACCAGTAGGTTCTCTATGTACTTTAAAACATCAAAAGTTGGAAAATCAGCAGTGATTGTCTCTTTCAAATATATTTGATTCTATTAAACACTATAATCTGGTAAGTAATAGCTACTTACATTCCCTTTTCTCCTATCTCAGCCAAGCCCCACCAAAAAACAACAACAACAACAACAACAAAACAAGAACAAAATGTCCAGTGTGGTGGTGCACACCTATAATCCCAGCAGCTCAGGAAGCTGATCACGAGTTTAAAGTCCGCCTCAGCAATTTAGCCAAGCCTTAAGCAATTTGCTGAGACTCTGTCTCTAAATAAAATACAAAGAGGGGCTGGGGATGTGGCTGAGTGGTTAAGTACTCCTGGGTTCAATCCCCAAAAACAAACAACAACAACAATAACAAAACCCAAAATGCACTTCCCAGAAATCACTCTCACAGCTCATTAGAAAGTGTATAAAGTAATTATGATGAGAAATTGGTTTTCTCACTGGTTCTAGAGTTCAACTGTACTTACTTTTCAGCAAAAACTATACATGCTACTATTTGTCCATGATGTTCTGTCTTTAAGAATAAAAGACTATAAAAGAACACATATACTTACTTCCTTGTGGTCCATAAAACTTCACTACAAATTCATTGAGTCCTCCCAGGATTGTAACCTCATGCTTACTCTCAATGCTAAGGTGGAAGGTAAAGGAAAGTACACAGGCTTTATATCAGGGGAAGAACTACTGATAACATCCTCAAGATATGCCAACTAAAGTGTTACCAAAACTTGACATGATACTGATACACAGTACACAACACAATACAATACACAACAGCTCTAGTAGTTTAGAAGGCATCTGACTCTAATGAAAAGAATATGAATGAACTTTGGATTCAGAGAGAGACTGCTGTTCAAATCCCAGGACGGTCACTTACTTGGTTTGTGAGCCTCGACAAAATAATGCCCTTTGTGGGCTGGGGCTGCAGCTTAGCAGCAGAACGTTTGCCTAGCATGCATGAGGCACTGGGTTTGATCCTCAGCACCACATAAAAATAATCAAATAAAATAAAAGCATGTGTCCATCTACAACTACAAAAAAATAATGCCCTTTGTTCTCACCCTGCGAACTGGGAAAATAGCATTTAATCTGTGAAGATTAAATATGGAAAATGTATAAGAAGAATACATCTGCCTATATGTAAATGAAAAATGGGCACTTTTAATATTTTTCCTAACTATACCTTCTACTCCCCAATAAGCCCTTAACATAATTCAGTACTCTTTAGTCAAATTCGCATGTCTGGTAAGTCACTAAAAATTCTCCTAAACTAGAAGTGCTATGCTCCTAAAATTAAGGATTTAACTAAGGAAAGTCCCCACAACTTTCTCCTTGGCTTATGAAATACTCAAAATAATTAATGATACAACTTTACTATAAGGCAGACTGTTTTATCTGTTGTATTTATTTTCACTTACTCTTTCCTTTCCTCCCCAGACTCCATCCCCTTTAGACCTGCCTTTAGGTTCTGGTGTGGTCCAGGGCTTTAATTACAGAGAGGTAATTCAGAATTCTAAGTTCTCTTCCTAAAAAACTGACCTGGCCTGGAGCTCTCACCGCTTCACTGACTCAGTTACAGAAAACTAATTAATCCGTCTTAGTAGAAGACAGTGCTACTGATCTAAAACCTATTTGAAGTCTTTGCTTTGTGGACTAACTCAACAATGACACTACGATAGGAATTTTAGGTGGTATGGCTTTGGAAATTTTTCAAATCTAAATGTAACAATAAAGAAGAAAACCAGAAATGACAGAACAGGTATCATCTTTCTCAATCAGCAGTGCCAATTACATTTTAATTACACATATGAATATACAAAATAGATAAATCAAAAATTTTTAAATGATCTCAAATAATGGAAAAAAATGATATTTTTAAAGGTTTGAAATTAAATATTTGGCTCCCCAAGTCCTTGTCCTATAGGCCACAATACAAACTGCAAGAGACCAGGTATATTTTGGGTAAAGTCCTTGCTTGAGAGCCTTGGATAGTATCCACAAGAGATATTTAAATTATATAATCCAGACTATACTAATTTAGTCTCATGCTTTTCTAACTGAAAACTATTCTCATAACAAACATACTCAAATAATATTCACATAGGAAAACTGGGATCATTTCTCACTGGTCTAATGACACACAGATGCCTGCTCTGATATACTAAATTTTTCCTGACCAAAGAGTCACCCTCTGACACCCACAAAATATCCCAAAGCTAATGCAGTATTTTTTGTTTGTTTGTTTTTAAGTACAACATGTTTAAAACATTTTAAAAGTTTTAAAAAAGCACCCTTGTGTGAGTGTGAGTTTGTGTGTGTTGGGGGAGGGGGGGTCAACTCCAGTTATAATATAAAAATTAAAAACAAACAAGAAGCACACAAAGAAAATACTTTTCTATGGAAAAGGCCTTCCTGAGACCAAAGCCAGAAACCGCAAAGGAAAAGATTAGCAGATATTATACATATTTAAAACTTTTATATTGTAAAAGATAAAAAAGACAAAGGAAAGGCTAGGGAGAAAAAATATATAGCATACAACCAAAAAATGTAGATTTTGCTGGGGATATGACTCAGAGGTGGAGCATGGGTATGTTAGCATGCATGAGGCCCTGGGTTCAATTCCCAGCATAAATAAATAAATAAGGATTTTTAATATATATTGTGTCCAACTACAACTAAAAAATAGATATTAAAAAAAAGTTAGGGCTGGGATTGTGGCTCAGTGGTAGAGCACTCGCCTAGCACAGGAGGGACCCGGGTTCGATCCTCATACCACAAACAAATAAAGGCATTGTGCTGTGTCCATCTACACCTAAAAAAATAAATGTTAAAAAAAAAAAAGTTCAACTCACTTAAGTTTAAAAAGATTTTTCACTATAAAATTAATAAAGATTAAAGAAATAGATAAAATCTTGTGTTCAGTGGAGTATGAATTTTTACTTCTGAGGTCAACTTTAGCACCATATTCCACAACTTAAAATAAATTTATTCTTTTATTCATATTTTTAAGTTAATTTTTAAAAAAATATTTATTTTTTAGTTGTAGTTGGACACAATATCTTTTATTTTATTTATTTTTATGTGGTCTGAGGATCAAATCCAGGGCCTCACATGTGCTAGGCGAGCACTCTACCGCTGAGCCACAATCCCAGCCCTAATTTTTTTTTTTTTTTTTCAAATAGCCAGCAGAGAGTGTGATATGGTTTCATTGCTTTGAGAAATTGCTGGCAGCACTGAATCTGTACATAGGCATGTCCTGTGCCCCCTCAGTGCTATCCCTGGGTATATATCAACAGATACGTACAGCCATGCTCTCCAAATACATGTTTAAGAAAGTGCACAACACTATATGTAATATCCAAGTATTATAGACAATCACAGGTTCATCAAAAGTTAAACAGGAAACTATGTTATAGTCATCCAACAGAATTTTATACCACAAATCAACGAAGAGAATGACTTGATACACAAACATAAGGGTTTCACAGATAAGTGAAAAAAACACAGAAACAAAAAAGCAGGTATGATTCTGTTTATATATACTACAGTCAAGCTAAATGAATCAGTAGTATTACAAATTAGGATAGTGGTTACTCTGCTGTGAGAAGCTCAGTGTTAAAGCACCCCTGGGTCCAATCCCCAGTACATTTTTTTTTTAATGAAGTGCTTTTGATACACACATAAACGTTTATAGCAAAACCTGAACCTTAAAGATGGAAAACCACCTAAATTTCTATCAACAGGAAACTGGTTAAATGAAATATAAGCCATCTGTATTACATAGGCTTCTACAAGGGTCTCCTAGTGTCCCTGGCCATTGGCTCCACCAATGTTGTTTCTGCTCAACTGAGGGTATCTAGAAGTTAAATATAAAATAGTGGCATAGGTAAAGATATCCTAGCCATTAGGCAAAACTATATAAACTGGCAAAGATAATCAAAGAATAGAGCAAGTTAAAAGATAAAATTAGTTTAAAAAAGAAATCAAACTAATTTTGTAATATAAAATCCATATTAGCAGTATTCTCCATCAATCAGAAATAATTTGCTATAAATGACACTGATCCATAAGCAATTATTCAATCATTTAAAATTATGAGTTATTTCATGTATGTCACTTCTGGAAAACTGAAGATATCTTTTCCATCCTTTACCCAAATAATGCAATATACCTGGGTTTCTTCTATTTTGTTATTTGTTTAGGATCTACTTCCACACTTACATTTACTTGACAAAGATGATTCTACTTTCATAACTTATGTTAAAGTGAAATTAGAAAATCAACACTCCCTTTTCCCTATGATGCCTAATACAACCCACATGTCAGATACAGTAAGTCTCTCTTCAGCTACACCATGCCCAAATAGTCCATTTCATATGAGAAAGCAAACCAAATAAAACTTTTAAAACTTCTACCAACTTGGTAAATGAGACACTGTGCTAAGTTTAGGACATCTTGGAATGATACAGATGTGAAATCAGAAGGGGGATAAATTAAAGTTTAGTCAAAAGAATAACACTGCATTAAAAATAAGTCATTCCATCACCACCGAATGACTTGCCACAAAAAATATAAAATTACTTGACTACTGTTACCATGAGTATTTATGGTAGAGACCACAAGTTTCTTTCCCTTCTGCTTCAAAATCAAGGGCAAGAAAATAAGAATGCTGGTTAAAATGACAAAAATAACGATCTATTTCTGAGATGGGTTGGTCAGGCTAGTAGACTAGTGGAAACTCAATCAGAAGGTTCCTTTAATACTTTCTCAGTTTCAAAACTTGAAAATATAAAAATTTCTTGGATGCTACTCTGGCAAAAATTTGTTATATAAACATAAATCATATTTTACTCACCTCCGACCTAAGTTATCACAAAATATTAGTTTTTACCCACTTAGCATTTCACTATTGTGGATTATCACTATTTTCAGAAGAATAGTGATTAACATTCCCAGAAACCCAAGTCCATTTCACTTTTAAAATGCCTATCACCCAGCACCTTATTTCTCCTGAATGGCATTATGAGTACACAATTTAAAGGTAAATGCCAAAATGTCAAGAGATAACTGACATTCCTGGCAAAATTCATCCATGAGGATTTCAGAAGTAATTTTTATATACTTCTGAAATTTTCAAGAAAGGGAGCCAAGAGCTAAGCCTATGCCACAGGATTGACATTGACAGGCCAAAGACTCAGATCTCACACATCATATCCTAAGCTTAGTGATAAGAGTTTATAAAATAAATTCTAGAGTAGTGTTTTAGGGAGGGACTGGGATTTTAAAGAACTTGCTTTTGTGAGAGGCAGCAAACTGTACAGCTTTTTCTCTCTAGGTTCAGACCTGTCTGTTTCTGGTTCTTGAGATTAATCACACAGGAAAGTTAAAGAAATTCAGCAATCTTCACCACCTACTTTTCTTGGTAAAAGATGGAAATCCGTTAATCCATTAATAGGAAACTATCACAAAAATATTTGGGGGTTATAAAGAATTATTCTCTTTTAGAAATACATATTGAAATATTTACTATTTTAAATGTATTAAATCTAGGGTATAATACAGTGTAAAAGGGGTACAAAAGGTACTGAAGAAATGGTATTGGCCCTGAGTTCATAATTACTCAACCTGAGT